TGCCTCACACAGCCTCAAGAGGTGCAGGGCAGTTGCCAGAGTAACCTAACGACTTCAGCATTGCTTTACTCACCACCCTGAGCGCTGCTGGCTGCCCACTTCCCCACCACCGTTTAATCCTGGCCTAGGAGTCAAGCAAAGCAGGCTCCAGCCCTACCCCTCCCAGAGTGTCCCATTAATTCAACTCTTTGTGTCCTCTGCCCCAGCTTACCAAGTGTCAGAAATGGTACTTATCCCCCAAGAAAACTAAGATCTTCCAGAGCCTTTATGAACCACAGCTTCCTTTTGTGCCTTGCTTTTGGCACTCTAGTTAAGGAAACTACAAAACATGGAAAGGGATGAGGCTTTGGCATTTTTTTTTTCTCAGCCTGGAACCTGCTGCATCTGCCTTTGAAGCATTCCCTCTTCTTTACAGATCACATTTTCACTGTGTCTGCGTCCCTGGCCAGGAATTTGCTACCACTCACAGAGCTGAATCAAGCCCCACTTCACGTCTTTATGAGCCAATCTCTGCAAAAGCATGGGGGAAAAAAATCCCACAGCTGTGATAAACTGTGATAAGCAGAGCAAGTCGTCTGCAGAATATCAAAGAGCTATCTCCATGCAGCTGGTCTTGTCTGCTCTCTCCGTCAGTAGTTTTAGCTGAAATGAGAAGTAGCACCAGGAGAACTCTGTGCTTGAGGACTGCACCAAAACAGGTGGGCACACGTATAGGGGACCATAGTTCCTGCAGAATCAGGGACCAGGAAATTAGGTCAATGTGCTGTGAACCTACCCTGTGATGTTAGTCCATGCTTATGCTTTCCCCTTGCAGACTACAATGGGAGAGATTAATATTCTCCTTTTAATAGAATTCATCATACAGGTTCCCTCAGGAACTTCCCCACCTGCACCTTTTTCTCTTCTGTCTCTCTAAAGACAAAGAGGGACAGGTACGGCCAAGTGTGATACTGGCATCTGCATGTGGAACATGGTCCTTGGGAGCTAGGCACATGTCAACCAGCAGTCCTTTAGGAACAGAGCCAGCTTGCACTGTCTGCTCAAGGAGTCAGACTGTCCTGCAGCAGCCTGGACGGCCACACTCTGCACTGGACAGTGGGCAAAGGCATTGCAGAACTGCAACAAAGTCAGAGAATCTTAGAATCCCAGACTGGCTTGCATTAGAAGGGACCTTAAAGCTCACCCAGTTCCAAACCCTGCCACAAGCAGAGACACCTTCCACTAGAGCAGGTTGCTCCAAGCCCCATCCAACCTGGCCTTGAACAGTGCCAGTCGTCTCCCAGAACTAGAAAGGATGATGATGCAGGAAAGGCCCCACCTTAACCCATGGGGTTCTTTGATGCAAGGACAAGCCACGTGCTGAGATTATAGGAGCTCATGTGCAACACTGCATCCAGCAATGGAAAGTGGACCTCGTGGTGCAGTCTACAGCCTGCTCTGGCTGTGCTGTCATGGGGAATCAATACAATCCCTGTTTTGGGGCCCATACCAAGATCCAAGACCCCACTGAACACCACCACATACTCCTGGAAAACCCTGCCTGGGTTTCAACCCCTGGTAGGGGTTGCTCTGGGAAGCGCTGCCAGAAACGCGACACAGGGGGCCAGAACCAGCCAGGAGCCCCCAGCGTTTCACCCAAGCGGGTGCAGTGGCACTGTACCGGGGCTGCAAGCTCCAGCCCGGCTGCCCTTGGAAGGGGCACGGCGGCCCCGGCCCCAGCCCCTCCCCCGCGCCGCTCCCCGCCTCTGCCGGCCCGAGGTCCCGCTGCCACCCCGGGGGCAGCGCCGGCGGGGATACTGGGGCTCGCGAGGGATTTCTGCGGCCCCCCTCCCGAGCACTCACCGAGGGGGGGCAAAGAGAAGCTCTCCCGGCCGCGGGACGGGCCGCGGGTACGGGGCCGGGCCCTACGCCAGGCCGGGGAGGCCGCGGCCTGCGGCGGGGCCTGGAGTGGGTCCGCTAGCCGAAGGCCCGGCCCGGCGCCGCCGCGCTGCCCGGCAACCGTCGCTTCCGACGGGAGGGGCCGGGCCCGCCGGAGCCTCCGGCGAGCAGCGTGTCCGCTGCGCTTCCGAGGCTCAGCGCCCGCCTCTGCTCTCGCCTTCGGCGATCCCCCGCGGGCGGGTCCCCTTCCCCGGCCCGGCGCGAGCGGGGGCTGGTGCAGGCTCGCTCTGCTGCAGCATCTCCTTCCCCGGGGCTTTGGGGAGGATCCGAATCGCGCCCTCCTCCAGGGCCTGAGGAAGGAGCCAAAGGGCTCCTGTCGGCGACATGGGCGGTGGGATCGAGCACGCCCAGCGTGTCTGTGGTGATACTAAGCTGTGTATTGTGGTTGATACGCTGGAGGGAAGGGATGAGATCCAGAGGGACCTGGAACGGCTGAAGAGGTGGGACCATGAGAGCCTCAACAAGTGTGAGGTCCTACACCTGGGTCGGGGCAATCCCCATCAGAAATCCCCAGGCTGAGCAGAGGATGGATGGAGCAGCCCTGAGGAGAAGCACTTGGGCGTGCAGGGTGATGAGAAGCTCCCCATGACGCAGCTTCAGTGTGTGCTTGAACCCAGATCCCCCCGATGTGCTGGGCTGCATTCCCAGAGCATGAGCAGCAGGTTAGGAAGGGGATTCTGTCCCTCTACTGTGCTCTAGGGAGAACCCCCCTGCAGTCCTGTGTCCACCTGTGGGGCAGCAACACAAGAGGGATGTGGAGCTGTTGGAGTGAGTTCAGAGGAGGCCACAGAGATGCTGTGAGGGCTGGAGCAGCTCTGCTCTGGAGAGGTTGAGAGAGCTGGGCTGGTTCAAGATGGGGAAGAGAAGGCTCCGGGAGACCTTAGAGCAGCCTTCCAGTACCTGAAGGGGGCTTACAGTGATAGTGGAGAGGGACTTTTCATCAGGGACTGTAGTGATAGGACAGGGGGCGATGGGTTCAGACTTAAACAGGAGAGATTTAGGATGGATATAAGGAATGAATTTTTCCCTGTGAGAGACATCATGCCCTGGCACAGGTTGCCTAGAGAAGCCATGGCTGCCCCACAGCCTGTCAGTGTTCAAGGCCAGGTTGGACAGGGCTTGGAGCAACCTGATCTAGTGGAAGGTGTCCCTGCCCATGGTGGGGGCTGGAACTGGGTGAGCTTTAAGGTCCCTTCCAACTCAAACCAGTCTGGGATTCTACATATCCCAACCTTCCACAGCACCAAGGAAGTCAGTCTCTAGAGCTAGCTTCTACTCATGTGCCTACCCTACAGCTCAGAGCAAGGTGGTGCAGTGCATCAAAGCATCCATACCAGGCAAAAAGCTCCTGCTGCTGTGGGACTGGATTCCCTGGTATCCAAACTTCAGTGTGTAACTTGGTGTATGTCCTGAAAGAAAACCATGGGGGGCAGGTACAGAACAAGGCTTGAGATATATGCATACTGTGGTGAAATACTTTTTTCTTTCTCCTTTCTGTGATTTTCTGTGAGGGGTGGAATGTATCAAAGCTGTCAGAGACCATGGGAAGGAGGAACTACAGCTGGCAATTAAGAGTGACCCGTCCCTGACTGGTACTTGGAAGATGCTGGAACTGGCAAGGCACAAGGACGTTGGAACTGGAAAGAGGATAGGAAAATCAGATAGACCTTTCACCTGATGTAACTGCAAGGCAAGCACAGATGTACTTGGCTAATTGCTTGGAAGCATTTAAATATCGTGTAATCTTTGCAATGAATGATCCAGCTTGCACTCTACCTCTGGGTCCGTGCCTCCATCCTCACAATTTTCTTTCCAATTCAAGCAGCTGAACTTTTCCGAAATAAAGCCATGTTAGAGTGTGCTCTCCATCAAGCTGTTGTTTGCTGGGTGACAGCAGAAGACTCCCTGGGCTGGGTCACATCAGGAGGTTCAGCCATGCGAGAGCAGCAGAATGTGCACCCCAGCCAGGTTTGCTGCACCAGGAGACCGCCATGTGCCTGAATGTGTTTGCTCATAACCATACTTTTCCCTCAAAATGGTACATCTCAGTGTTGTTGCTCTGGACCCAGGTGGTTAAATTTCGGGGTTTTTATTGCTGAGGAGAGGCGATGCAGCTCTTGGGGTCAGCCTTCACCTGTTGAAGCAGCCCTTTGATTGCCACATCACTCTCTTCAGGCTATAAAATGCCATTGTGTTTACAAAGGAGCTGTGCAAGAGCCTGTTGCTCCCACCATGGCATGATGAGGACATAGCCCACTTCTCTACTTAAGTCAGCCTCTCCTGAGCACTCTACATGCAGAAGTCAAACAAAATCCCAGCATTTTCTGGGCTGCTGGCTTGAGGGCTGGGACTTGGGGGCTGGTCTTCACAGACTCCACAATAGCGTTCATGAGGAGGTGACCTCTGGGACCCCTGGTTCCCATCACAGCAGTGTCACTGTGGCTGCAGCCATGTCCCACAGAGCCCTGCCATCCCTGAGATGGAGACTCCCCACCTCCCGAGGGCACCTCCCAGACCCATGGCATCCCCAGCACCCCTGAGCCTCCATCACCACCACAGTCAGTCCCACTGGGCCCAGCTCCACTGTGTCCTGAAGGTGCCAGGGAGCATCCCCTGGGCCCCCCCTGGTTCTTCCACCTCCCTTCTCACACAGGAGCCCAGATCTGGAGACCTATTGCCATGTGTCCTCCACAGGAGCTAATGTTCTTCTGGAATCTTCTGCCAAACCTTTAAACCTTCAAACCCACCCCCACAGCTGAGAATGGGGAGGCTTGTAAGGGAAAAGTGGGGAGGACAGGCTCAAAGTGATACCACTCAACCCATTACTGGGGCTTAAAACACTCACAAATGGCTTTGCAGCTCTCAGAAGCCTGTGCCATCCTCCCCATCCTGTATTCCTGGTGCAGGACTGCCTTGCCACAGATTTGGTGGCTGGAAAGAGAAGCCAGTGCATGTTGGGACCAGCAGTGAGATGCTCAGGGCGACAGACAGTGCTGCAGCCACTCAGGATGGCGGTTGGCCAGTGGCGGATGTCCGTTTAACAGGCAAAACGTCGCTTCACCTCCCCAGTGAAGGGGAGGCAACACCAAGGCCAGGGGCTGGGTGCTGATAGTTGGCTTGAAGAAGGTACAAGGCAGAGGTGCAAGGTGTGTTGGGGTGGTTAGGGGCTTCTAGCAGCTCAGGAAGGGGTGGGGGGCTCCAGCAGTTCCCTGCATTCATCCCCAGGTGTTCTGGGAGAGCTCTGAAGGCCCATGATTTGGAGCACCTCATGCAGGCTTTGTACTGGGCAGAGCTCAGCCGCTTCCAAGCTGCTGCCTGGACCGAGGGCTGGGAGGGGGAACCACCATCAGCAGCTCAGCCCATGTCATGTCCCTGCAGCTGGGGCTGGCCCTGGCCGTGCATTGGGGTGAGCCCCCACACAGACTTCAGAGCTGTTTCCCTGCATGCAGCACACGCTGGTGGCTGGGAGCTGCTGCCATGTCTGCCCCGGTGGCAGATCCTCCTGCCCTGGAGAGGAACCCCGAGGAGGAGCAGCGCAGCCTCCAGGACCTGGGGCACATCCTTGCTCAGCTGTCTGCAGCCCTGGAGAGCCCAGACATCAAAGTTTTGAAGGTGCAGGGTGACACTGTGCTGGGGTTGCAATGGGCATGCGTTTTGATCCCAGAGCCATGTGTGAGAACAGGGGGTCCCAATGCGTGCCATGAGCTGGGGAGGCAAGGAACAACAAAAGCTCCTATCTGCAAAGGATGAATGTCCCTGAGCCAGATCCACTCCCTAGAAACAACAGGCATGATGTTACTCCCAGGTCTTTCTCATCGGAGTGTAAATGGCCCCAAATAATTACCTGCGAGTTTTGAGTTAGGCTGCGTGAAATGGCAACTGAATCATGTCCATCTCCTTGCAGAGCAGTTTTCTGCCCTGGTGACATGCTCAAGGGTGGCCATAGCTGCTGCCTGGGACCTGGTGGTGCCACTGTATGTGATGAGGGGACAGGGTGGCAACCAGAGCCTCAGTAGGCTCTATCCACCATAAAGCCCCTACAGCAGTGTGGGCTGGTCCCACTCACCAGCCAGCCAGGCTCACCCTCAGGCCCTGGGTGTAAAACCCTAAATCCAGGAGGTCATTACCACCCAGCAAAGGGTCTGAGACACAACGATCCATGCCAGGGCAGGGGGGAAGCAGATACAGGGGCCAGCAGGACAGGAGCATCACTTACCAGTGCTGTCCCACATGTCCACTGCAGTGGTCTGAGGATGGGCGGAATGTTCTTGTCCATGCTGAGCTGTACAAGGAGGAGATGGAAAAGAACAAGCAGCTCTTCCCAAAGCTGGCAGATCTCAGCGATGTGGCAGAGCTGAAGGCCTGGCTGCTAGCCTATGGCTTCAAACTCAAGAGGGCAAAGTAAGTCCCAGCATCTCCTTCATGAGACAACATCCCCCTGCTGACACCGAGGTCTGGATCTGCCCTGGGCAGGCTGTGCGGCACGGGAGTGAAACAAGGGATGGAAGGGATGAGCATGGGATGGAAGACACTAGTATTCAGGGTTTGTGGCTGGACATCATTCTGATTTGGCTTGTATTTTGCTGAGAACCAAGGAGCAAAGCTGGTAGTGATTTTGAGAGTTGCTTAGGGTTTAGAAGATCAAATAAACCAAAGCGTGGAAAGTGAGAAGCCCAAAGAGCTGTGGGGCTCACAGTGGGAAGGGAAACAGCACCTTTGGCAATGCAGGAGCTCAGAGGCATCTGTCAGCCAGAGCCAGTGATGTCCAAGTGCTGCCAGCGAGCTGATCCAGCCCAGGCAGGGCAGGAGCAGCCCCAGGCAGCACTATGCCACAGTGCAGGCACAGACCAAGGGTTGTGCTGGGACATGGCTCCTGTGCCAAAGCCACGGAGCTGACTGTGCCCCACAGCTGCTTTCTGCCCCACAGGCTTAACTCGCAAGTGCTCCTGTTGCAGCACCCTGATTTCCAGAGGGCACATTCCACTGTCAAAGAGACAGGTGCCCTCTCTGCTGACCTCTCTGCCAAACACCAGAAGAAAAAGAGGCAAGAGAGCCACCTGCTCCCACTCGGTGGTGCCACATCTGATGACAAGCTGGGTGAGCAAAGCTGGTGGCTGCAGCCCCACAAGCTGAGCTAGACTGGGACAGCATGTGCTTGAGCTAACTCATCTCAGGAATGGCGCTGGTATGAGACTGGATCCATAGTCCAACCCTTCCACTTCTCCCAGACTTGGCAGCATCCCTGTGGGTTGGGTGATGGTGGGGGCTCTGCCACTGAAGAGTTTTCAGATGGGCACTGTGAATCCCAGACAGGCTTGTCATGTCTCTTCCCTCCAGCTGCTGCTTTGTCTTTGGGATGTGTCTCACCAGGTAGCCTTAGCTCAAGGGCCAGGTTCTCCTCCTTCTCTTCCTGGCAGGGCTGCTGCAGCCTGTGAGCTACAGCACAGCTGTGGGAAAGGAAGGGGTGGTCAGCACTGGGCTCTTCTTGGACCTCTCCAGGAAAAAGGCCGCGCCTGCGCAACTTGTACCAGTACATCGACCAGGGCATGCCAGAGCTGAGTGACTTGTCAGCAGCAGAGGAAGCTCCAGCACTGCCACAGCAGAGCCAGGACCCTGCAGCCCCTGGGAGCGCAGCAGCTCAGCAGATGGAGGGTGAGCTCCAACAAGGTTTTCCCAGCTCTAGCATTCCCCAGGGAGCTGGCCTTCTCCTGCTGGTCCCAACAGCTTGTACCCACCCCCTCCTCCCCAATTTTGCCCTTGCTTATGCAGCTTGTGTCACCTCATCCTGCTTCTTCCACCCTTGTCTCCAGCTTGTAGAGAAGTGGATTGGATGTCTCTGGGTCATTTTGGCCCTTTGCAGCAGCTCTGCTCTGCCCTTGGGTTTTCTCTTGAAGCTTTTAGGTGGCCCAGCCAAATGAAGCCAGATCTTTCCCCCTAGGAGTTGACTCCACAGTCTCCATGTTCCAGAACTGTTTTCCAAGACTTGGTGGGACAAGGCCAAGGCCAGCCTGAGCTGGGGCTGGTGACAGGCCTGCTCCAAGCAGGAGATCAGGCTGGACACCCAGAGCAGCTATTCCCCCTGCAGTGCTGGGGCCTGGTGTCCTGCTGCTGCAAACAGCGCTCCTTGGAGGAGGTGGCTGGCAGGTGATGCACTCACTCTCTCCTCTTGCAGATACTGGGGCCAGCAGTGCTCCAGAGATCCCAGTGCTGGGAAGCAGGTGACAATTCCATGGAGCTGGATGTTGACAGGGTGTTCAGATGTCCAGCTCAGCTTTCTGCCTCCTGTTTGGTAACTACAGCCTGATCTGCATTGGGGGTTTTTTGGATTTTGGTTTGCTGGCTTGTAGCTGTTTTTTGTTGTTTTTTTTTTTCTCCTGGTTGCAGGGAACCTGATTTCCCTGAAAAAAAAAAGCAGTTTTGCATTAGAAAATAAACCAGCATGTCACCTGTCCTTCGGATGTATGTGCTGTCATTTGTTCTTCACATGTGAAAAGCAGTTGCCTGGGACCAGCTGCTGGACCCTACCTGGCACAGCGGCCCTGGGACGGGACAGTGTGGCAGAGACTTACCCATGGAGCAAAGGAAGTGATACCATCAGTAGCACGAGTTTGCTGCTTAGCTGGTGTCTTCCAACAATGCCTGCAGTGAGTCAGGCTGAAGAATAAAGATCCTGTTGATCACAAAAGTTGACATGGTAAGTCCAAGATAGGTAAGAGGATCTCCAAAACCATCTACTCAACAGCTATCTTGTGAGGGAAGCAGCAAGGAGGTGGGAAGTGGATCTTCTGGTGGGACTTACTTTCCCTCGGCAATAAATGAGTGACGTTTGCTGGTTTAGCAAAGAGCTGTACAGGACAGCACAGAGCTATGGATAGACTAGAGTTCTATTGCTAGATATGATCTTACTGGCATCATGGGGCTGTGATGGTGGTATTCCAAAATTAGGGCTCTTCACCTGGTGTGCAGAGAGTGCAGTAACATACAGAGTCAAGATGGCTGTTTACCCATGTCTGGGCAGAGATGATGCCCTGCCCACTCTCCCCTTCCTACAGTTCAGACAGTGAAATCTGGGTTTTACACACACACAGCAGTATGTGTCTGCCATCGTGGCTCTTACACACTCTCATCTCTGTTTCAAGACATATAGATTGATTTCACTGCATGTGTTCCATGAGGAAGGGTCTCTGTGGGCAAGGGTCTCTTATGGCAGAAGGTGTTTTAGTATTAGAATGAACCAGGTTCCCTTAAGAACACTGATGTCTTTGGTTTGCTGGGCTTTTCAAAATTACACCTGCCTTCCTAATCTTTATGAAGTGAGCTACTGGTCTTCTGGTCCAGATGGTTTCTGTATCAGTCTTCTACCTCCTCTCGAGGTGTGAGAGCTTTAAGGAAACACTGGACTTCCTTGTGACATGCAAAATTCAAACCTCTGCATTTTCAGGCTTTCACACACATAGTGCAAAATTTTACCTTCTTTATTGCCAAGTAACAATTCTCCCTTCGAGACTTAGACATATTTCATACTTAAAATAAGTCTCATTTAGATCCCTTTAATCTCAAATCTCTGTCCTTGGGAGGCTTCAAGACTTTCTAAAACCACCTCCTTATATTCTTCCCACTGACATACATCTAATTGGAATTTCTTCCTACTTGTTAGGGGGGGGCCTCCTCAAATCTTTCCTGAGTTGTGGATGCCATTATAGGTGAGGATCCTGCTACTACTACTCATATAATTATGTTCTTGATACATCCAAAAATCATACGAGCTACTGCATTCAGTGTTATGAGCATACTCAGTTTGAAGTAGGCTCTGTAACCTCCCTGGTAAGGGGAATCCCATCCTGTGGGGCATTTTACTCAACCACCCACTTTCCATGCTGTTCTCAGACCACAGCTAGTTTTTGCTGCTCCCTTCAGCTGGTCTAGTTGCTTGTCCAGATTTTCAGTGCCATTTGGAATATGACATTTTTCCAGTCCAAATAGCCACAGACTCCATGTTTGTGCAATAAAAGTAAGTTGAAGTCCAGGTGATTCTGTGAAGCTATTTTGGAAGTAGCTTGCAGCTGGATGTTCAGTTCTTCCATTCCCAAGGCTTCCATCTGTAAACCTGAATGATATAAAGAGAGCCTGGTTTTGAAAGAGGCTGCCTAAGATAGACTCTAGAAACCACTCTATAATAGTTCCAGTACTGCGGTGTGCCATGAATGTGTCTCGTCTTATCCTTCCCCACAGGATAGTTCCTAGAGGTGCCTTTCTCCACAGACAACACACTGTTAGTAATCCTTGTATCCAGTATTGATTCTGACCTGCAACAGGGAGGTGAGCTGCCCATTTTCTTTCTCTGCTATTCCATATTGTGGGTCCGAAAGCTGGAATCCCCAACTGAGTGCAAGTGATTCCTAAGGATCATTATCTGCTTGGTGAGTGGAGTTGACATGTGGTGACCAAGAGTCATTTAAAGGGGTGGTATTGTTTCTACATATACACCCTGGCCTTAAAGTTTGAGCAACTGGGGATATTCTTAAGATTTTGGGATCTGGGCTAGTACAATTACAAATCATAGAATCATAGAATAGTTAGGGTTGGAAAGGACCTTAAGATCATCGAGTTCCAACCTCCCTACCATGGGCAGGGACACCTCACACTAAACCATGCCACCCAAGGCTCTGTCCAACCTGGCCTTGAACACTGCCAGGGATGGAGCATTCACAGCTTCCCTGGGCAACCCATTCCAGTGCCTCACCACCCTAACAGTAAAGAATTTCTTCCTTATATCCAATCTAAACTTCCCCTCTTTAAGTTTTAACCCATTACCCCTTGTCCTATCACTACAGTCCCTAGCAAAGGTCCCTCTCCAGCATCCTTGTAGGCCCCCTTCAGATAATGGAAGGCTGCTATGAGGTATCCACGCAGCCTATGAGGTGTCCACACAGCCATAAACTGTTATCATCTAGCCTACATGTTCTTAGACCCTGAGAATATCAGAGTAACTTCTTATTTATACTAGGTGTTTTTATTTACTCTCTCCTCACCAGGTCTATACGTTAAACTATATGTCATAGCAAGCCTTTCTTTTTTCCACAGTGTTGAACAGTATCATGTACTCTTCTTTGGAGCTAACAGAAACATATACAGCTACAGTAATTTGTAACCCTATACTATGAAGTATAATGGAATACTGCAAATAAATCAGCCATTTTAAACAAGTCTCAGCTACAGCATGGAGCAACAGCTTTGATCCAGTATCACATTTGGTTTTATGTCCTTGAAGTGGTTCAGGGTGTAGAGAGGTTAGAATACATTAGTGTTAGTTGTAAGGGATTGTCCTGGGTTCAGCAGTAGCAGTCATGTTTCTCCTTCTTGGTAGCTGGTGCAGTGCAGTGTTTTGACTTTCGGCCTGGGAACAGAGCTGATAACAATGATGTTTTGGTTTGGCCAAGGACTTTGTGAGCCTCATGCTCTGCCAGGGAGGAGGGGAAGCCAGGAGGAAGCAGAGACAGGACACCTGACCCAAACTGACCAAAGAGGTATTCCATACCACAGCACGTCATGCCCAGGAGGTAACTGGGAGTTACCCGGAAGGGCTGAGAGACTGCGGGGTTGGAGGAGGTGTCAGTCAGAGCTTGGTCGGGCTTGGGGGGCGAGTTATCGGTTGGCTGGTGCTGAGGTGTTGTATTCTCTTCCCTTGTTATTTCCTTTATCATTGTTATTATTAGTGGTAGCAGTAGTGATCTGTGTTATACCTTAGTTACTAAACTGTTCTTATCTCAACCCGTGGGAGTTGCATTCTTTTCGATTCTCCTCTCCATCCCTCTGGGAGTAGGGGGAGGGAAAGAAGGGGGGAAGTGAGTGAACGAATTACCTGACTGGGTTTAAGCCACGACAGGGATCCTCTGGCCTTTCTTCCTCTCCTTCCCAAGTGATGCACCATATTGCTGTTTGGGAATATTCCTATACTCCTGCTCATGGCAGCTTCCAGACTGGAGGGATTTGACAATCCCATAGGATATTAGTACACTGATCTCCCGATGGTCTAGATATAATTTTTGTTCCTCCTGGGACTTGGGGTTTATGTTACAGCTGTTAGTCGTGTCTTTCCCTGTGCCCTTTCTTTGTTGGCCACTAGTGGTGTCCCCCAGGGCTTGGTACCAGGGGCCAGTGTTAATATCTTCACTGATCATCTGGAGAGGCAACTGATCTGCTGGAGGACAGGACGTCTCTGCAGAAGGATCTGGACAGGCTGGATCAATGGGCCAAGGCCCATGGGGTGAGGTTCAACAAGGCAAAGTGCCGGGTCCTGCACTTGAGCCACAATAACCCCATGCAATGCTACAGGCTTGGAGAAGCGGCTGGAAAGCCCCTCAAGGTAAAGGACCTGGGGGTGCTGACCAGCAGGTCAAAGGAGGTGATCCTGCCCTCTATCCTGCTCTCATGAGACCCCACTTGAAGCTCTGTGCACAGTTCTGGTTTCCTCAGCATAAGAAAGACATGGAGCTGTTGGAAAGTCCAGAGGGGGCCACGAGAATAAGGGGACACCTCCTGTATGAAGACAGGCAGAGAAAGTTGGGGCTGTTCAAAAGAGAAGACTGCGTGGAGACCTCATAGCAGCCTTCAAGTATCAAGAGGGCCTACAAGGATGCTGGAGAGGCACTCTTCATTAGGGACTATAGTGATAGGACAAGTGGGAATGGGTTTAAACATAAACAGGGGAAGTTCAGGTTATATATAAAGTTCCTTACTGTGAGGGTGCTGAGGCCCTGGCGCAGGTTGCTCAGAGAAGCTGTGCCTGCCCCATCCCTGGCAGTGTTCAAGGCCAGGTTGGATGGGGCTTGGAGCAACCTGCTCTAGTGGAAGGTGTCCCTGCCTGTGGCAGGTAAACGGTTCATCCCTGGCAGTGTTCAAGGACAGGCTGGACAGCGCTTTGTGTGACATGATCTAGTGTGTGGTGTCCCTGCCCACAACAGGGGGTTAGGTCTAGATGATCTTAAGGTCCCTTCTAACCCAAACCATTCTGTGACTCTGTGGTACCACTGAGCTTTTTCCACACCCAAGCCACCCAGTCAGCAGCAAAACAGCACAGAAGCAGGGAAGAACCCAACTGAGGAGTTCTGAGGAGCTGTGAGGAACTGATCCCCAGCTGTAAGTCTTCTGTTCACACTTACTAGGATGGCTTTAGCTTGACCAAATCAAACCCAAGCACACAGCTGCATACAGAATGTTTTCAACAAACACAACTTTTTATTTCTGTAGAAAACAAGACACTTTTCAGGAAGGACCAGTTTATCAAACAGCAGTTTGCCTGTTAATATACTTAAATACACTGAGTTACAATTTAGTGGGAAATACATTAAAAAAAGCTTTCAAGTAGACAA